CACATAAAATTCATATCAATTGCTATCAACAAGATTAGGGCTTAATTGTTTAACTGGATTCTCCTGTAAATTTCATTGAAAATTGACAATCCACCCAAAATTATTATGCTCAATATATAGCCATTTTCTGCCTATTCACTGGTCACTAGTTTATTTTCCCTTTTAGAAAGCTCACCTAGTGTATGGCTTCACTTTAGCACTTCCCTATCTTGGGTTTTCCTACAATCGTCAGGGAAGAAATATAAGCAATTTGATAGTAGGAACTTACCTATGATGCTGTTTAAGAATTGAATTTATTACATTGTCTACTAATTTTCATAAGTTACTTGACGAGAATTGTATTATCTGATCTTTACCTATTTTCTTGTTTAGGGGTTATCAATGGGTTTACAAGTCATTGCTGCAAGTTCTTTTGCATCAGGATTTGGAGCAATGTATCTATCTGTTGGTGGGATGTTACTGTAAGTGGTCAGAAAGCTTCAACTTGATTTTGTTGGGAGGGGTATTGTGGGGCATACACCCCTCTAATAATGGTATTCAGTCGATGGTTTTTTGAAATTCACTTGCGTCCTTGGTTTGCCACTGCATTGGATGTGCAAGTAAATATATGTATTAGCAAGTGGTTAACATGGATTTCAATCTCATTTATCTGGAGAATCACATGGCAATGAATCTAATATGACTTTTCAAATATTAATTAACTATATTTTGAAAATATTTGCATTCTTAACTTTGAAATGGACTGCAGACTGCTGCATAGATTGTTGGATACTGTACTTATGAATCTGAACTTCCTTCATTCCTTTGTATTCACTATTCACTGCCAAATTACTGAACAAATTACAAATCTTTACGAAATTGTTTGTTCATGTTTCATGAATCATGATATATGTTGCTAAATGTGAAATGGAGAACACAGGTTTGTGCTGTCATTTGCTCTTGGTGCTGGTCCAGTTCCTTGTCTCATCATTTCTGAAATACTACCTGGCAATATCAGAGCGAAGGCAATGGCAATTTGCCTGGCTGTGCATTGGGTAATGGCCTTTTCATTTTTTCATCTTTAATGCTTCCTTAAGTTATTCAATTTCATCTTAACTTTTCCAAATTATTTAACTCATTTTGGCACACTTATGAACTTGGAATATACTAAAATATTTGTTATTATTGCGAAATCTTTTACCATGTTTAACTCATAGTGCTGGTAAATATTTTATGATGTTCACATTTTAAAACTAATTTATGTTTCAATATTTGAATGATATATGTGCTTATATTCTAGGAAGGTTCCTTTAGGTCTGCAAGTTAACCTTAGGTAACAGTCAACAGATAACCAGTAACTTGACATGGTATCTGAGTCAGGTTATTAAGAAAGTTATTGATTTGAAAAATCTTGATAACCCCCTCAATAATCAATAATATTATTGCCGGTCTTTCATGGTGCTCATGCCAGATTGCTAGTACAGTTGGGGATGGCTGTGCGTGTTGGCTATATGCAGTTTAGTGTTTTATAACATTTATATTACACATGTTGATTGCGATGTATGAGATTAAAATTTGAGCTCTGAATATTATATATTCATTAGAATTAGTTAGATCTTTTCTCTAGTTATCTTGATATATGTTGAATAGTAGGCTCTACATCAAATAAAATATCCATGCTTGGAGGAAATTTTTGCCTTTCAAATCAAATCAGTGTCAATTAGTTTGTCTCCTTTTTCGATGTTATAATGTTCTCTGAGATTATAAACATTTCTTTAACAGGTGATAAACTTCTTCGTGGGTCTATTTTTTTTGCGCATGCTGGAGATAATTGGGGCACAACTCTTGTATAGTAGTTTTGGTATATTTTGTTTGATAGCTGTGATCTTTGTGAAGAAATATATTCTGGAAACAAAAGGGAAGTCACTTCAGGAAATTGAAATTGCACTTCTTGCGCAAGAAGCCACCTAAATGAACTGAAGCAATCATATGGACAAGGTATGGGCATGTTTTCATTTGTTGAATGAGTTATGGAAACATTTTCGGTCAGAAGTAAAAAAAAAAAAAAAAAAAAACTTTTTTT